GTGCAGATTAGAGACGAACTAGCTAGTGAACAACTGATTAAAGTACAGTTTCAAGTAGCTATGAGTGGACGCTACAGTTCTCGACAACAAATGTTTCAGAAAAATGAAACATGTAAAGCTTTGAAAGAATGTCATCTTATGAGCAATATCCCGAAGAGAAATCTCGCCTCTGGCTGTCATCTTTTTAAAAAAAAATTGATCAACCTTCATGGAGGACTACTCGACGTAACTACAAACATATAGCTCAAATCGTGTGCATATAATCCAGATTCCGAGTGCTACACCTTCTTTCATGGGAATTTGAGCGATCTGAAGTTCTCTGAAGATACAATGTTATACTTGTATGTCATTTGAAACATGTTAGGTCGGCTGATCTACACGAAACTATACTCACACCGGTCATTTGTCATAAACATGTACGTTGTCACGATGGCGTGACGCTGTATTTCTCCATGAAGTTTCCATCGGTCGTCCCAAAGAAGACGAGAAATGGACATTTTTCGATAATTCAGCAGATTTCCGAGCATTCTAAGTAAAAACAACCAAAAAAGTAAGAAAAAAACCCTCGACTGAACGCTCGTAAACACTGAGAATCTGAAAGCAGAAATTGAAACTTGTCAGCGGCAGTACTACATGTAAAAACCCAGTCGCCAATAATTGCAATCGCGCGAAAATCATCACAAAGTGGAGATTTTGAACTACTCAGTATCCTTGCAGTACAGCAAATGGAACAGGGATTTCATCACAACCAATTTCCAGAAATTTAGCTTTTTTTTCAGGGAGTCTTTCTCGTGCTCGAACGTTATATTGGCTTTGAACCTTGAGATTTATTTCCCTTGACAATAAAATGCTTTAGGAAGTGCTTTCAAAATTACAAAGGAACTATTTTTGTTGTCGCTTGGACCGAGAAATACATGTTTGAAATAATTAATGCTGCCACTGATGAACCAAAGGGCACAATCTTCTCAGTTATTAGATTGATAATAATTGATAAGGTGGAATTATGACATTATGATTTGATTCAATCTTTTATTTCGAACTTTGTTATGATATTTTCTCTAACAAGACATAGAAGGAAACATCGGATTGACTCGATTGCACTGCGGCGGTGATAAGTCTCTCCTCATCATATCTTGTGAAAATTTTCCAACAGTTTTCAGACAGTTTTCAGATGATTTTAATTATCTTAGTTCCTGTCACAAGGAAATGATAACTGCCCGAATCTGCTCTTTGTAGAGAGATGCCTAGATCGTTCAAATTGCTATTGTTACAACTGGGTTTTACATGTAGTACTGCCGCTGACAGGTTACGATTGATACTCTCAGATTCTCAGTGTTCACGAGCGTTCAATCGTGGTTTTCCTCTTTTTTTTCGGTTGTTTTTACTTCAGAGTGCGAGGAAATCTGCTGACATATACGAAAAATATCAGTTTCTCGTCTTTTTTGGAGCGACCGATAGAAACTTCACGGAGAAATACAGTGTCACGCCATCGTGATAACGTACATGTTTATGACAAATGACCGGTGTGAGGATAGCTTCATGTAGATCAGCCGACTTAACATGTTTCAAATGACATACAAGTATAACATTGTATCTTCAGAGAACTTCAGATCGCTCAAATTCCCATGAAAGAAGGTGTAGCACTCGGAATCTGGATTATATGCACACGATTTGAGCTATATGTTTGTAGTTACGTCGAGTAGTCCTCCATGAAGGTTGATCAATTTTTTTTTTAAAAAGATGACAGCCAGAGGCGAGATTTCTCTTCGGGATATTGCTTTTGAGCTTCGTTCGCGAATTGCTCCTATGGAAAGTAGAGGCAGGCCCGCAGAGATTTAAACATTTTAAAAACTGGAATATTATAGCCAGCTATGTGGTTAGTCTCAGTTCCAGAATCGGTGTACTTTTGGAGAAATTCAGATAAACGTTTTCCCTGTTTTACCCGAAAACAAAGATGACCGGAATTGTACCGAAATGAATCGTCTGTTAGTGTGTTCAACTTCACTCCCAGGGAAAATTGACTGTATCAATGTCAAGATGAATGATGTTACTATGTATGGTAGAAGTGCCAATTTGTTATGTTGTATTTAGCTTGAGATAGAGAAATAAACATTTGACTCTTTTTTTTTTTGCGACGTTTTTGTATGAAAATGAGGCCCAGGCCTCGAACAAGCAGCCGTTGTTACCATGGTAACAAGAGTGCTGCGCCCTTTAAAAAGAGCATTTTTGTGCATCCCCCCTGAGCGCCTAACTGCATGCAAAATTTGAAGGGGGGTTGAAAATTTTCATTTGCCAAGATGTTTGATTCTTACAGAGACTTGTTCTTAAGTGGTCAAACCACTTAAGTACAAAATTCCATAAATTCATTAGAGCAGAAACCCTGCCTCTAAAATGCAAGTCAGCATGCCTTACATGAGGAAAACCTGTCTTTTGCAGGCATTGTTTTAGGTCCTCCTCTGATTTCTGCAACATTTCCTGCTTTCTAGCACGCTCCACAACACTGTCTATATCAGAAACCCTCAAAAGAGTCTTTTGGGGTTGTCCCTCCTCAACATCTCCATCTCTATTCCCTATAGGTGCTGCCAGGGCAGAAACAAAAGGATCAAACTTTTTTATTCCTAATGCCTCTAAGTATAGGAGATCAATATAATGCTGCCAGGCATTGATCTCACAGTGCATGGGTTCTGGCCTTAACTTGTCTGCAAAATGCCCAATCCTAGGGAGACCTAATTGTCGGATGCCATTTTCAGCCATAAACTGCAACTTTCTGGAATTTTTATTTTTTTCGGAAAGGTTTGGGGGAAGAGAGGCGATAAAATTGTTTACCTTTTCAGTATTAGAGGTTCTCATTTCCATAGTGTATCTCGAGGTCTAATAAAAGTTACAATTTCTCATACTTTAGCCTGACCACTTTATAGTCAAGGTCGACTGAGTAGAAAAATGTGCTCCCCCCCTTCCTTCCACCAAATACAGAAAGACAGAGAATAATGAAGAAAAAACAAATCACATAAACGAAAAAGTCCACAAAAAGTGAAGCACTTTATTCACACTTTCTCACGTTTTTTTCGTGTTCAACAAACTTCCCACGTGCATCCTTAACTCGCTATACGCACGGTAAGCACGGTAATTCTTTATCAATTACTTCTAAGTTAAATTGATAACAGTAACTAACAAAGTAAGAATATGATAAAAAGCGGAAAATCAAAGCTTAAGTAGTTAAAATGTAAATTAAGATGCTTTGATGATTATTTTGTGAACCAGTCTGGGTTTGAACGAAACCATGACTGTGTTACAGTAGAACAATAAAAAAGAAAAATTATACAAGACTGTAGAAGCCCTTTCAAAGATTTAGGTCTGATGCAATAGTGTCTGTTCAATCCAGAGTCGAGGCTCAGTTACCTTTACTTTCCATTGTAATATACAGAGCACCTTGCATGCTGCATTGTCACTGATAAGGTTTCAAATAAAGTTACACTTGATTGGTTAGGAATGTGGCGCGAGCTTTCTTAATCACAGAGTCTAGGTAAAAACCAATGCATTTCTGAATTACTTCCGCCACACAATCTAAAGTTGAAGTCCAATAAAATTAACTACCAGTGGAAGCTCAATGATGCCAAACCTATCTTTACATAGAGCTGTAAAGACAGAAAAGTAGCAAATGACGATTGATTTAAATGACAAAAGTAATTTGGTGTATGTTTCTATTTCTCCTCATCTTACCAATGATACGCTTTTCATCAAAGAAGATTTTTTCCCAGAGGAGTTCAGTGATTTTTTTTACAAAAGGCAACAACAAAAGTTCGGTTATTTTCTTGGCCTGCGTCACTTTATCGTTTGTATCTCTTGCATAAATCAAATTAATTGTGTTACCGACCACCATGAGGAAAAAACGAAAACAAAACAAAATCAAAGGTCCTTTCAACAAGATGTACGCCCGACCTGATATCGTATGACGAAGCTTAGTGTGATTTAAAAATACAACTAATATCACTAAAGAAAAGAAATCCAAGATTTCAAGAGTCATCTGAACAATGATTAATCTATAAACGTGTATGAGACCATGATGTACAATTTGGATAATTGCCGAGACAGCAATCAAAAAATAGAGTAGAAAAGATAAAAGCAGGGTCCAAAAATTTGGCAGACGACACAGATCTTTAAGAAGTGATGAGAAACCGACGAATGATGGGGATTTTACAATGATTCCCAGGAAAAAAAAACAATTCCCAATTTCTGCTACATTCAAGGAAATAATCACTTTCATGTTTTTTTGTTCTTCTAAGATTTCTGGTTGGGTTTTAGTGGAGTTTCTGCCAAAATATTCCACGAGAGCAAATTTGACGATTATTATAAGCAAAACCGCTTCAGCCAAAAAAAACAGTAAAAAAAGGCAAAGGAAGAAATGGCGACAGTTGAATTGTTCACAGAGTCTGTGTTGGCGACTTTCTGAATTGGCCTCTGGCACTAGCGGTGTGTCCTCATCGGCAGGGAAGCTGTTTGCTGTGCATTCAGAAATTTCCGAGCTGTGACCTACCTCTGTTGGCATGTTTGCTTGAAAAAAAACAACACAAATTATGTATGTATGTGTATATATGTATATATATATATATATATATATATATATATATATATATGTATAGTTCTGTACAATGTACATTATCTGGTACAACCCTCCTTTTAGCAACAACGTACAAACAAACATCGGCAAAACATTTCTTAGACTAGTATCGAAGCATTTTCCAAAATATCACAAATACCACAGTTTATTCAACAAGAACAACGTAAAGGTCAGCTACAGTTGTATGGAGAACATGGGATCGATCATTAATAAACACAACAAGAAAGTACTATCTTACAACAACAACCACGACAACAACGAAAGCCTTTGCAACTGCAGATCTAAAGAACAGTGCCCGCTCAACAACAATTGCCTGTCTTCCAGCATTATCTACAACGCACAAATCACCACTACAGATAACAAAACGACCCCTAAGAACTAAATTGGACTGACCAAAGGAACTTTTAAACAAAGATTTAACCAGCACAAGGTTACATTCCGACACAGAAAATACACTAACAGCACTGAACTATCCAAATACATCTGGCAGCTGAAGGACAACTCTGTAAACTTCAACATAAAATGGTCCATTATTGCAAGAGCTAGGCCCTACAACAACACGACGAAAAGATGCGACCTTTGCCTGACCGAAAAGCTCATGATTATTAAGTTCAACAGCAACAACTTGCTGAAAAAAAGATCCGAACTTATATCCAAATGCAGTCACGAAAACAAGTTTTATCTAAAGAACATCTGA